AAAAGCGGAATGTCCCTTTAAGATGATTTAAATTTTTCTATTTGGTCAATAACTAGTTCATATTGTTGAAGAATAAGGTAAATGGTAAATGATGAAAGGGCGCTCGGGAACAGAAAGTGTTCGCAAAGACTGGGGAGCATTTGGTTCACTTATCAAAGAAAACAAAATTAATATTTAAATCTGGCGAACATAAAATCACACAACCTAATATTCCCTTGGCCAACCAATTTCTCTATCGTATTTAATGTTGGTTTCCTTACGGGCGAGTCGTGAACTTAAATCTCAATTTAAACAGAAATCAGCTCATAAACTAGACAGTTAACCTACATTCTGATTGGCTTAAATCATATCAACTAACCAATCGTATCGATTGGCCCATAATTCTTATTTTATTACAACCAATCAATTTAATCGTTAGATATGACGCTTGTTTATTACTACTTTCATTTTATCTTTCCTCTCCACCAGACTGTAATCAGATTAATATAACGACTTCTCTGATTGGTTAATAATTATTTACTAGTTCATATTAACCAATCAATGAGGTCAATTCATATCTTATTAAATCATTATTAATTTGGTGTTACTCAGGTTCAGAAACATGACAATGGGAGAGACGAATTTGCCATAGTTCTTATTCTAGAAGCCAATTCACATGTTAATTCATAGTGTCAATTTCTCTCCCATTTAAATTGAACCCCAGTTGAGTTCACTTAGAATTCACGCCACACCATATTGAAAGCCGAGTTTCACACCCCTATGTCATTCTACCCGACCAGATCTTAAAATTCGCCAACTTGAAGTTAACTTGCCATCTGCCAACAACTACCTAGTCTGTGATATCAGTTAGCTGGAAGCGAACGTTAACTTGCCATCTACCAACAACTACATAGTCTGTGATATCAGTATCTGCTGGAAGCGAACGTTAACTTGTCATCTACCAACAACTACATAGTCTGTAATATCAGTTGACTGGAAGTGGACGTTAACCTGTCATCTACCAACAACTACCTAGTCTGTAATATCAGTTAGCTGGAAGCAGACGTTGACTTGCCATCTACCAACAACTACCTTGTCTGTAATATCAGTTAGCTGGAAGCAGACGTTAACTTGCCATCTGCCAACAACTACCTAGTCTGTAATATCAGTCAGCTGGAAGCAGACGTTAACTTGCCATCTACCAACAACTGCCTTGTCTGTAATATCAGTTAGCTGGAAGCAGACGTTAACTTGCCATCTACCAACAACTACCTTGTCTGTAATATCAGTTAGCTGGAAGCAGACGTTAACTTGCCATCTGCCAACAACTACCTAGTCTGTAATATCAGTCAGCTGGAAGCAGACGTTAACTTGCCATCTACCAATAACTACAGCTCCAGTTCCTGAAAACGCAAACGGTGACATTGGTAAAGATGACTTGGGACTTACTGAAGGGTTTTGAACTCAGTAACCATTGTGAATAAAACTGTACACAAGAAATCCGACCAACCCAATAAGTGGTACTTAATTGAATCAGTCTGGATATTCGGGTTAATTAGATTTGTCATTCAGTCTTGATTAAAAATTGGTTGAGGAGAAAATAGACTTCATTAACCAGACGGTTCGCAACCTTCTCCAATACAACAATAAACAATCGAGAATATTTTACAAACTTTGCTTTCTCTGTACACTTTTGTAAAATAATTTCAGACTTATTTTATGATGTTTTTGAAAAAGCTTCAATATTGAACCGAGTATTGTCGAAGTTTGAGTTCTCTACGTTCTGCAAACAATTTCTGAGATTGTTTTGTGTTTTAAGGTATCTTTCGCCAATATGACAGATTCCCAACCAAATCCAATTCAACAACAGATTATGGAACCTTTCACAGAGTTTGAGTTCTCCGTACTCTTTTATAAACAATTTTATTGCTTGATTTGGGTATTTGAATAAACTGTGATCATGAATAGAGTTCATCAACTTCTTCAATTGAATAGAAATAACGAATCTTAGGGACAATTAATACACATGTACCATGTTTCCAAGGATATCTGTCTAATTAAAATTATACCTAACTTTTGTTCCGTTTTTGAAGCTTTTATTTAACTGAAGTGGCTATGTTAAATAATAATAAAGCTAATAAAATAAATGGAACGAAAGTTTGTTTAATTTGAATTAGACTGTCAATGAGCTCTGTAAAACAGAATCATTCGTAAACATTTTGTGAATGTGCAATTAGCGATGAAACAAAGCTTTATCCGCGAAGTTACGATGTCCCTGTTTCTGCTAGTCAAAGAGTGATACTGAAATCTAATGTAACCAGTTTAAGGATTGACCGCCGCACCATTTCCACCCTGGCCTATTTGCAATTGATTAGAAAGCTCAACGATGACTGGAAAGCATTTGAATCAAGATGTCGGAGCCAGGTTGACGTCCGAAAGGGGGGGGGGGGGGATATCTTAGGTTACCCAAATTTCTTAGTTATGAGAGTTATGCCCGAAAAACTTGCATTTGGGGCTGTCCCCCTGTCCCTCCTGTGGCTCCGTCACTGGAATCAAGATGGCGGAATAATAGCAACCAATTAGAGTTAATTACTGAAAGTTAGATTATCTGAGTAGAATGGGTTCAAAAGACACGTGTCTAATTCATTGAACGGATTCAGGACAATCTGACCCAGGGGTTGAAAGGTCATTTAGAACATGCCTTTAAGTGCAACAAGCAATCTCATCAGAACCCCATAGAACCTTGGGTGTCATATAGTTGCGTTTCTGCGGATGTGGATGTGAGAGAAGGTTTATGTCTCTTATCATTGAGTTCTTAAATGCTTGGGCAGTAGGTCCACATTGACAATTCTACGGCCTCTATCGGACTTTCCACTTGATGATTCATGGAAACGCCACTGTTGCCATAGGGGGCCCCACCCCAATAAGCACCTTTATGTACTTGTGAATCCAAAGCCAGGAGTTTGATTGAAAGCTAATGTCAACCGACAATAAACTCAATCTGACAGCTCTCGTAAAAAATATCATTTACCAGTCAATTCTGTTAGCCATTTTACACCTTCTTCATGGCGCCATTACTCACCTAACGATCACCCAGACGGCTGTAAAATGGTAGTGTTTATTGTCCAGACGTAATAATTCTATATATGGTCATTTTATAGTCTTAACCTCGCTTTCATTATAGTTTATCAATGAAGCTTTAATGGCGGGAAAGTTAATAGAAAACTGAATTAACCGGAAATTACGTCATGGTTTTAGACAAGGTCTAATTTCACGCGGTAAATGTGGATAATTAAGAGGTTAATGGCGGTAATTAAGAGCCTAGAGGCGATGTTCGTGTGGAATACATGATGATGCTATAAAATCAGACCAATGTCCTATTCATCAAGGCACGGAATTGTCTTGTACATGACTGCCTTCATAAGTTGGTCGGACGTGAACTTGTCATCTATCTAGGCAACAATTTACAATTTGCATTTTTCCAGGACAGCGGTCTTATCCTGCTCTTTCGGTTTCGGTTTCCAACTATCGAGGGATCTTTAACGTGCACAGCCTGTTGGTAGTTGATCCACTGCTTCAATCAAGTTTAGGCCACGGAGCTAAAAGCTAAAAGCTAATCAATCTCAAAGTTTAAATGTGCTTCTCTAGAGCAATGCACGTAGATGGATGAAAACTGTCTGACCAATTAATTTAATTTCCATCTTCCCAGGGTTGCCTCACACCTGCCCCTGACAGCTCCCTTTGTTACCGACGGTATTATAGTTTATTGTGTCCAGGTCGACAAAGGTCATCGGCTATTATTGTTAATGTCGACATACTCTTGAAAGTTGTGACATTAATAGATCGATCTGACGCATGGAATTTAAGATTTTAAGATGCAGTAGTTAACTGTTGTGAAGTTTAAAAATGTAAATGTCGAATGCACACTAAATTATCGACACAATTTGGATAAAGCCTTATCTCACCACATATCAGCTGCAATAGATCTAGATGTAGCAATTTGTCATTGAAGTCTTCTGTTGTCAGAATGAGACTAGAACATTCTAGCTAGCAGATTGCTTGGTGCAACGGCAATTTCTGTGTCCGTCAAGCTAGCAGATAGCTTGGTGCAACGACCATTTCTGTATCCATCTAGCTAGCAGATTGCTTCGTGCAACGGCAATATCTGTGTCCATCTAGCTAGCAGATTTTTGGTACAATGACAGTTTTCTGTAGTTAGAATGAGACTAGAACATCCCAAACTATCGTATCTAACTAGCTAGTAGATTGTTTGGTACAATGACAGTTTTCTGTGATCAGAATGAGACTAGAGCATACCCAACTATCGTGTCTAACTAGCTAGTAGATTGTTTGGTACAATAACAGTTTCCTGTTGTCAGAATGAGACTAGAACATACCAAACTATCGTGTCTAACTAGCTAGTAGATTGTTAGGTACAATGACAGTTTTCTGTTGTCAGAATGAGACTAGAACATACCAAACTATCGTGTCTAACTAGCTAACAGATTGCTTGGTACAATGACAGTTTTCTGTGGTTATAATGGGACTAGAGCAAACCACACTATCGTGTCTAACTAGCTAGTAGATTGTTTGGTACAATGACAGTTTTCTGTTGTTAGAATGAGACTAGAGTATACCAAACTATCGTGTCTAACTAGCTAACAGATTGCTTGGTACAATGACAGTTTTCTGTGGTTATAATGGGACTAGAGCAAACCACACTATCATGTCTAACTAGCTAGTAGATTGCTTAGTACAATGATAGTTTTCTGTGATCAGAATAAGACTAGAACATACCAAACTATCGTGTCTAACTAGCTAGTAGATTGTTTGGTACAATGACAGTTTTCTGTTGTTAGAATGAGACTAGAGTATACCAAACTATCGTGTCCTACTGGCTAGCAGATTGCTTGACACAACGTCAATTTTCTGTCTCTTACAGTTTGGCAACAGTTTTCACTCAAATGAGTGAGATTTGAGGTCTCTGAACGTGTTTTGACTCTGCCTGTAAACAGGGAAAGAAACGGTCAATAAAAGACAATCAGTGACAATCAGTCACCGTATCTAGGAACTAAATAGATCTTTAATTGCCTTGTATTAGCCACCATACTATACCTCTAAGACACTTTTATCGTTTTTTACTCACTGGTTGGATTTAGTGAAGTGTCGAAAACATTGATGAAAATTGCAAGAATTCTTGTAGAAATGTTTTTATATTTACGAAAATAAGTCTTTCAGAAGAATCTAATTTCTGATTTTCGCTTGTAAACACCTTTCACCATAAAAATTCAAATAGCACCGTGACGTATTATAGTATGGTTGCAAATAATAAAAGCATTAATAATTTCGAATGCAGCTATCATGTAATTGAGTTGTGAGTTGCGTTCGAAACTCGTGACTACTTTCATTATTCGCAACAATACGCAACTGGTAATCCCTATCACTCTGTGGTGTGAGGGCACATTACTAAATGAAATGTTTTATAGAGTAGGTATTGTTTTAAAAAGAGTGTCCTATCAGTAGTCCAACTAATACAAAAAGAGCATTCTAAGTTAAATGACTATTTAAACCCTTGCATTTTCAGTTGATGCCTTTGCCTGTACTTTCATGGTATTTCAATGTTACAACCTAGAATTCATAAAGAATCACAAAATTATGGATATACTATTTCTAACATTTATTAACTCAACGTTTCACATGTTCATACAGATAGTGTTATCAAATATTATATAGAATCACTAGATATATAGATATACTATTTCTAACATTTATTAACTCAACGTTTCACATGTTCATACAGATAGTGTTATCAAATATTATATAGAATCACTAGATATATAGATATACTATTTCTAACATTTATTAACTCAACGTTTCACATGTTCATACAGATAGTGTTATCAAATATTATATAGAATCACTAGATATATAGATATACTATTTCTAACATTTATTAACTCAACGTTTCACATGTTCAAACAGACAGTGTTATCAAATATTATATAGAATCACTAGATATATAGATATACTATTTCTAACATTTATTAACTCAACGTTTCACATGCTCATACCGGCAGCAAACAGAGAGTAAGGAAAACAACGGTAAAAAATTCATAATTAATAATTTAACAATTGTTTTTACTTCCAGGTGAACAAACACTAGCCGACACAAAACAAGATTCTAAGTTGGGGTTTGTAGAGAATGCAGTCTACACCATGGCGTATGCGCTTCATAACATGCATCGTGACGTGTGTGGAGGCGTGCCGGGATTGTGTGATGCTATGAAACCTATTAATGGAAGTATTTACCTGAAATATCTTCTCAATGTCACCTTCAATAGTTACAGTGGTGAGGATGTACATTTTGATGATAACGGTGACCCACCAGGAAGGTAAGAATAAGCACCTCATTCAGTTCTAAATTTTAAATTACACAGGAAATGAGGTTTTACGTCCGACCTATCTACGACTAATAATGGGCTAAAGAAAACGGACAACGCCATACATTGTACAATGAGGGAAGAGTCAACGGCTATTTTTGTTAATGTCGACCTACGATATAAAATGGTTGTTTATTCCATTTGGGCTTATGGCTAACTATGATGAAAAAGGACAACGCCGTGCATTGTACAATGAAGGAAATTTTGCCAGGACAGTGGCATAAGCCTACTCTTTTTTTATCACCAAATGTAGAAGAATCTTTCACGTCCAGTCTCTAGCACATTTCTATTAATTGTCCAGGCAGAGCGATTCGACTCATTTTCCTTATCAGCCCTTACTCCGACCTGGACTCTGACAAACTTCTTAATGACTATGAATCCAGATTATATGCCTGTGCTGTCGACAAAATCTGGATACAAAATACTCATGAGACGTCTATTGAATGGGGTTAACTTGAAATATCAGATTTTGACAATACCTCTGCTTCGTTCGATCATTGTAATTTCACAAAAATTTCCTGATTTAGACGTCATTATCACAATGACCAGTCCAAGCCGAATAGTGCAAGTACTCGCTATAAGTGACATACTCCTGAATTACACACTGTCTCCAAAACTACAGCGAAGTTGACACGTTGCCATCTCGATCATATCGAATTTGAATTGTTCAATTAAAAACTGCCAGGAACTAATCTGGATCTGTCAAAAACAGGCTCTTATTGTCATGGTACCGGTAAACCGGCGGTTATGAAAGGATACGGACAGGATTGGAAATATATCAATGTGAACACTGGACTGTCACAGTACGAAAAACATCTCAACCCGAATGAAGAGAACACGAAATCCCGTAACAGTTAATGGACACAGAAATAAAAGGACGCCCGTCGGTATCTGAACATAACAATCTGATTGCTGTGCTGTTATAGTACGAAAAATCAACCCGACGCTAAGAGCAGATATGTGACCCGCATAGCAAAATGAGTCACCCAAATTTCAAAAATTATTAAATCTGATGTTAATTTGTAGCTTAGAATGTCCTGACAAATTTAGTTGTTGTGATATTCAGAGATTTTCATTCAGTTGAAATACTTCATACTTTAAAGTATGCCTGAATCAATCGAACTGGCTGACGTGCGAATTTAATGGCATTTTGTTTGAATTTCACTAAAATCGGTAAATTCATTCATCTATTAAATCAATATGGTGAATAATACAGACAAGAAAGTGGCGGGAACGAACAGACGACTTCCGTTCTGTAATTGATCATGATGACGTCTGGTTTCCTCGCAAGACATGGTTCTGCAGTCATTCAACATGTCGGCTGCTTCCTGACAACCGACACTCATTGGTTATAATCACTAGGACAGTGTTTGCTATGTAAACTCGAGTTATAATAAATAGAGCAGTGTTTGATTACTTCGGGACAACATATGATACCAAAGGCTTTCATCTTTTTCTATTGCGTTAGGATAGATGGAGGAGGATTGGGGGGTGGGGGTGGTCATATATTATCCCTTTAATATATTTCATTCTAGGGCTGCGTAATTACAAGAGTTGCGCTAGCACAATCCATCATTTACTGCCCCCGTGTAACGTAACCTTGAGCGATCCAAAGGAAAGTAATTCAAGATTTAAAACTGCTCTACCATCATTACTTATTCACTACGATTACAAAAAAATCTTTCGTTTAACTTCTATATAAGATAAGAGGTTATTGATTTCATGTTGTCCGAATTTATTTACTGTATATTCAGTAGACCCCAGCCAAGGGGCCATAACTCAAGACGTAAGACGGATTATAATTTTAACTTTCAAGCCCAAACGGATGCGATTTCATATAATTTCTATTTAAGATATGAGTTTATCAACTATCAACCTGTCCTACTACCAGACGGCAATACAACTTACAGCTATGTTACTATAGGAACGTGGAAGACAGGGGTACTGAAGATGAACGAGCCTCTGATCCACTGGCCCAGCATCAAAGGAAGTTCCTCATTAACACCGGAATCCATCTGTTCCAGACCCTGCCCTAAAGGACACGTTAAGGTAAGATTCTGTACTAAGTGATGGACCAATTTTCTTAAAATGGATCTTGATATTTCGTTTCGTGTTTTTTTTCCTGCTGATGACTAATCTTAACATCCAGACACCGCTCTGAATCATGTTCTGGTGAATTTTGCCGAATACATCAAAAGTTGTCATAATTTATGCTATCCAATCCAAAATAATAAAAATCAGAAGTAAAACTGTAGGCTCAGAAACCTTGACCCCTGATGTCATTTATCAAACTTCCTCTAAAAGTCCATAGTCCCTATACCATAGGCTGTACAAATTTCCGACCTCATTATAATCACGACCCTCACCCCCTCTGTTATATTACAGGATGTTAAAGGGGTAACATGTTGCTGGGCGTGTATACCATGTAAAGAGAATGAAACAGTTGTAGATGAAACCACGTGTCAAGCTTGTGCTGCCGGCTTGTGGCCAAATCATAATTTATCAGGTATTGTAACTCGTGAATACTTATAAGGGGATATTTCTATTTTCGTTCTCTTCTGGACCACATTGGCTCGGTTAGTTGGACTCTGGAATATTTATAATGGATAAACTGAACTCGTTTTTCAAGCCCACATATGTCGAGATACTTTCGATGTTTCCCCTGGTTCATATGGAACAATAAAGTGGGGCCATGTCTGACCCAGGCTGCATTGTACGTTAAGCCCCCCACCCCCCACTCCCCACCCTTCGTTTGGAAAAAGAAGTAGGCTTATGCGACTGTTCTGGCAAATTCTTAAGCAAAATCTTGTGCAGTACAGCTGGGAGCGAAACAGCACATCAATTCTGTTAATTTTTGGAATAACGTTATAAGTCATATTATGCTAGTAATCATGTATTAGTTTGACGTTACTAATCTTGTTAGCAAGAAGCCTTAGATTCCAAGAGTTTTGGGATATCCAGAAGTTTTTAGATTTGTGTCATAAACAAAAGGTTCTGTTATAGTAACTTTTATAATTTTTTCAGCATGTGAAGAGATTCCAATAGAGTTTACCAGTTGGGACGATTCTGGGGCTATTGTTGCCATGACGATAGCCTGCGTAGGAATATTACTAACAGTATGGATCGCCAGTGTGTTCATCCGCCATAATAATACACCGGTCGTGAAGGCGTCGACCAGAGAACTTAGTTACATTATATTATTTGGAATAATTGTGGCTTGTTGCTCGAATTTCGTGATTGTGGCAAAGCCGTCGATTGTGACTTGTTATTTATCCAGAATCTTGCCGGGATTAGCTTTCTCCTTGATGTACGGAGCTTTAGTGACCAAAACTAACCGAATAGCTCGAATACTCGAAGGCAGCAAGAAAATTATGACTAAAAAACCGAGATTTATGTCGGCCTCGGCACAGGTTGTGATTACAGGGATTATAATTGGCGTAGAAAGCGCCATTATTACTGTCATGTTAATAATCGAACCCGCCGATTCTAAACTCGATTATTCCGTAGTAAAGCGCGTTCGATTAGTGTGTCATACAACTCCTCGTGGTGTGATCGTACCCTTAGGCTTTGACCTAGTTTTAATCATAATGTGTACACTTTATGCCATAAAAACCAGGAATTTACCAGAAAACTTCAACGAAGCGAAATTTATAGGGTTCACAATGTACACAACTTGTGTGATCTGGTCTGGATTTTTTCCGATTTATTTTGGCGGTGAGAGCCGAGTTATAACGATGTGTATTTCCATCACGTTAAGTGCGATGGTGGCCTTAGTATTATTATTCTTTCCTAAGGTGTACATCATAATCTGGGCCCCGGAGAAAAACACCAGAGGTGCTTTCACCACGTCTAAAGATGTTCGATGCCATATCGGATCCAAGTCAATGCCATCAGCAGATAGTATGGAATATAAGTAAGTATACGTCTATATCTATTTTCAGGACTAGTAAAGACGTTTCTAAACTTTGTATGAGTATCGGAGACACTGATGGCATCGATTTATAAAACGTACTAAAATGCTTAGTTTTAGTGGAATTGCGAGAACCACAGATTTCTGATTGAAAATTGGAATGGTGCAAATTGTTGATATCAGTGTTCCCTGTGTTCATTAAAAGTTTAGAAATTCTCTTTACAATCCCTTTTAAGGATTTCCATCAAATCCCAAGCATTAAGCTGACCCAAACAGAAGTTAACTATTCTTCTGTGGTTAATTGGGTATTGCTTTTGACCACGAATATATCCCAATTTCAGGTTAGGACTACAGGTGAGATAGGATAATAAGGTTTTCGTAATAATTTCTTTTGAAATTGCAGAATTTGTATTTATTTTTCAGTTAATGGCTGTACGGTCTGGGTTCATAAAAACAAATTTTTATAATAACCTCCGCGATTGTATAAAGTTTTGAAACAGATGCCGTGAAGTTTCATTTATTTCCATTCAGTTGTGTTTTTCAATGCAGTTGAAAATGTGTTTACCGTATTTACTTTAATTTTAGAAACAATCAACAAAACAATTTCAACTTTTTCAGAAAATCTCTGGCCAGACGACAATTCTTAAAATTTGCTCTCAGTCTTCACAATGTCAGGCTATTACGAACTTCTTGATATATCTTGACTGCAATAGTCATCTTTCTTGTTTTACGGAATGCATCGATTTGATTACATTATACAGCCAATCACAGGCTGTAAACATAAGGGCTTTGTGTTCACAGACTTTCTTTCGAGGACTCTGATTGGCTGTATTCACTAAGGCTAACAATCCAACCAAATCGCTGCATTTGCAAACTTTCGTGATACACGAAAGGTGGCTATTGCGGTCAAGGTATAAGACAAAAAAGCTTGATATTGTGAAGTTCTCAGACTCGCCAGAATCTTATTTGTTTTCCAAAAAAGCAGCCGAGCATAAAATTAGAAGTAGTTTAGATTTCGCCATCCAAATTAAAATCTGCTTAGCGAAGTTTCAAGTTCATTTTAATCAGATTGAGTCGCGTCCAGAAGAATTGTGAAAGAGATTTTTCACTAGCTGGTTGAACACGGACAGATATTTCAGTTTTAATTTGATTTAAAGGAATAACAAGCTCCCTGGTGGTGCTAGATTACTATGTAATTGGTACCAGTTAAAAATCTGCAAGAGAAATTCCTGGTTTTCTTTTAAATGTAACGTATTTAGGTTGCATGCATCTTTTACTAGAAATGAGGTCTAAATTCCTTAATCGAATAATTTATAATTGAACTAGAATGGATTTTATTTTATCTTTTCTGCCAATTTTTCAAAATATTAAAAGGACTCCCCATTGTTATAACAATTTATTGCATTTAAGTTAGAAAAAAATGCCAAGAAAGATTTTCTAGTCTTTGTTTGTATGAATGTGTATTTCTAGTTTATGTTATTCCATAAGCCCAACATTGATTATTATTCTTCGTGTGATTTGGCCTTGATGAAAATAGTTTATTGTTGCCTGGCTATTTGCACCGTCACCATGCGTGTTCTCTATGGCTGCTAACAACGGTGCGGATAAGATAAGACACCATAGGCGCGCTAGTGTTTGATTTTTAAAGCTTGTGCCATTTTGATTATCAAGAATGATATTAAGTGACTTTGTTAGGGTTAGGTAGGGATGGCCATATGTTTTTTAATGCCCATTTTTGTACCGTCGCGGTGCGAATAGCCACGGCCGAAAAAGAATTGGTGAAATTTAGGCCTTTTTAAGGGGATGTTTCATTTTTTAGTAGGTTGGAAAAGAATTGCTCAAATTAACAAAACTATATATCAAAATGTAGAGAAATGTGTCCCTTAACTTGTCTGAAAGATTTAACGGAAAGTTTCGTGCTGTTTTATGTTAAACGCCAAAAACTGGTCAAAAGGTCCAAGTAAACATCTTAACGTCCTTTTTTGGTTGGTGATGGAAAACGGAAGTATAAGCAAAATAAACAACAAACTGTAGATAAGCATATCTTCTACTAAATTGTCGAGACTTTATAAGACTATACAGTAGTACCAGTGCACTAGTTAAGTGGTTACATAGTAGCCTATCTTAGTTAGGAAAAGTTCACTCAGGTTTTCCTCCTCGTGATTTAGCCTTTTGATTTAAGGTTAAGTAATTTGGACTTGACATATTGTACCTACATGAAGAGATAAGTATATTTTGCTATGAATACGTAATTTCCCTTACTTGTATTACCACGGCCACGAGGAAGTATGACGAATTGGGGTGTGGTTTGGACTAGTGCTGGGTATCGTCAATCATGTCACGATACGATATGTATCGCGATAACGGATAATGTGATAAAAATTCACATTTTCTCTTCAAATTTCTATATATATATATTAATTCATAACTTTATAACTGTGATATTTGGTAATATAGTTGATAGAAGTGGTTAGCGTTCACTGTTCAGTTTCTAAAAATTTCAGTAAATCACCTCATAAAAATCCCCACTTTTTTATGGAATAAAGGGTATCGCAAAATATCGATACACGACGTCGCGATAGGATACGCGTATCGTGGCATGTCGTATCGCGATATATCGATTCACCGATATATCGTGCCAGCACGAGTTTGGACACGATGCACGATGAGATAAGTACATTTCGGTTTGTTGTTGTCAGTTTATGGATTTTGTTTTGTGATTTGTGATTTGTATAGTTATAGATCATGTTTCTCCTCGTGACGTTTAAACATTTCTATTTATATTTTCAGGGATATGAGGTATGATGGGTATTTTAAAAGTGACGTCGGAAGAAAGGGAGATAAGTGGAAAAATAAATCCTTGGATGAGAAGAAATTAAATACAGTCATGCGCAGAACGAATTTCCGGGAAGGGGAGGACAATCCATTTATTAATCATCATTTATTACCACCGAATCAAAGACAGTACGCAATTGCAGAAATGAATACACCGGAAGCTGGAAGACGTACTGGACGATTTGCAAACGAGGCTGCGAACCGGAAGTCGGTTGAAGAAGACATTGCAGAATTTTGTGAACAATTTCCGAGCGAGGAGAAAGAAACTAGTTTATGTGAACGCCCTAGAAAAGCTTGTGTTGGGATGTCGACCACAGTGAAAGATTCTCAATGTCAGACGGACTATAATGTGTTCATGACTTTAGAACCGACATGTCGGAGACGCATCAGATCCCCATATACGTCTCCGATAAATAAACGATGTCGTAGAATAACACCTAACCCACCGCCATCCGATACGTCTGCGTCAACGTACGATTCAAGACATTTGGCGGACACGTTACCGCTCAATTATTATGGTCGGGGCAGTAGAAGCGGAAGTTGTGAACAGTTGCGATCGAGTAACTGTACGCAAGAAACTAGTCCCCTTTTAGAATATGAAAGTGAAAAGCCAATGAAAAGACGTTCCTCTTTTGAAGGCGATAGTAACGAGTTTAAAGACATGTACACACTGGAATGTTCAGTTTCTCCCAGTCATTGTACAGACGCTTATAGAAAACACAACAACAAAAATCAAAGTATACGAAAACCCAACGGAAACCAGCCTTGTGAACCATTAGTGTTGAAAAACGCTTATGCCGAAAGCAATGACAATTTGCTAGAGAGCCGTGATAGTTTAATCAAAAGTTTAGAAAATTCCCCAACGAAAGAAAAAGCCAGACGATATTTCGCGTCTGTGAACTCGAGTGACGTACATCGTCGTCCTGGTGACACGAACTATTTCGCGGGTCCAACGAACCATAACTCTAGTGACACGAACTATCGTTCGAGTCACGCGAATCACTACCCGAGTGACACGAGTCAACGTTCATGTAGTGTTCTTAGCCAAAGTTCAGTGAGTTCAGGGACTAGTTTAAATAAATCGGCGGAAGAGTTATCGCTATTTTCCTTATCAGCTCTAGAAAACGAAGAGAATGACGTTGCACATTTTCAAGACTATCTTCAACAACGTGGTCTACAACTGGACATGTCGTCTGTTCAGACCAGCGATTTATAACACCATCTTCAGATCACCACCATAGGTTTAATATCATTAATTAATCAATATTAACGGCGCACAGTCGATACTTTATAAACGCAGGGATATAGAATGACAGTCTCTTAACCAATCTGAATTATAACCCGAAACAGTTGGGCAACAGTAGACAGAACAATTCTAGCTTATCCCCGCCCCTGACTATGTGGATGCAGTGTCATTACTAAATTAAAATGTTGACCAAAGGGCGCCCAAAAAGTTGGGCAGCACGTATACAAAACTCAAAACACTGTGTTCATGTTATTCCGGTTTTCCCCCACCCCTGACTATGTGGATGCTGTCCCCAAGTCAAATTTAACACTAGGCAGTGGGCAAATCACTTGGGCAGCACTTAGACAAAACATTGTGCCCATGTAATTCCGGCTTACCCTCGCCTCTAACCTAGTGTACCTGATCGAGGACGTTAGTTAACAAATTTCAATACGCAAATAACTTTAGAAATGCAGTGTATTTTGTTTGGAACATCGAACACTAATCAATAAAAATAGCAATAGAAGATACGCGGGCTGAAAAAAGATTAGTTGCCTGAAGATCGCATAGCGCGAAACTCTGAGTAACAACATGTTTCAATATTTTTAGATATCAATGAAATCATTTTTTTATGAATTTCTTTAGCAAAAAATATTACATTTGAAACATTCCAGAGGGAATTTTTGAAGCATTAACCCATTTTACAAAACAATGTCATTTGTTAAATGTTTAATATTTTTATTTTTAAATTCCTGTAGGATTCTATTTTTTGAAAAGCAATACTAGAACAATGTCATTACCCTACTCTTTATAAACTTCAAACTGTTGAGGGATCTTCAACGTATATACACAGCCTGTAGCACACACGGCCTCTGTTTATTGTTTTTTCATGTTCCTTTAGTAACGTTAAATGATTATGATCATATAGTCGTTGCTCTCACGTTCCCATATTCTCGTCATTAATTTTGATTGGTAGAGAGTTTATTTCTCTAAACAATTAGATTCCTTTAAACAAAATATTGCGGTTAATAACCAGACACAAAATCTTAGTAGCCTAACAAATTTACTTTCTGATGATTGAGTCTTAAAGTTCACGGTTGAATTTTTGTCATAAAGTGTCAATTTTCAAACAGCTATTATATAGTTTTCAGAAGACGAATTAAAAGAATATCTTCTATAATCTTTACAATGGAATGAAATAACATGTGGATCAATGATTCTGCAAAGCGAGTACGACTACACGAATGAATTAAGTCCCCTCTCATTTCGCCATTAACGGAAAAATCCCACCTGAAAACTTTGAAAATTACTCAAGATGGACGGAAGACTTAGAATCCTCGTAAATTCTTTTTGAATATTTAGTATACGTGTTAGTAACTTTCTGTCAAGTTCCACATCGATGGATAATCGAAAGGGTTTGATGCGAAACTGTAACATTTCTGGATAATTCAATGGAGGCCGCCATTTGCAATCACCATCCTTTTACACCAAATGTTACGAGATTCCTGACTGGATAAACGTAATATGGTTTGGAGGTTATTAGTCTCTAATGACGAGAATATTGGATTGTTCAAAAAACGGTTAGATGTGAATAATCGTACCGTTGCTCAAGGAAATGTTGTTTTTAATACATGTAAAGCTATAACAAACTGTGTTTTATACCTTGCATCACGGAAGTTTGTAAGTACAATGATTTGATTGGATTTTACGATAGCGAATACTGTCAAACAGAACCTCGACGGAAAGTCTGTAAAGACTATGATAAGTTGTATTCGGTAGCGTTCTATCCAATCAAATCGCTGCATTTACTTGATACAAAAAAGTGCCCAGGTATTGGACACAGTTCGTGTTAACTTGATTTTATGTACTGTATTTAGATGTTGCAAAAAATATTTAGCTAATCCTAGTTTTTTTAAATGGAATAAATCAGACGATTTGAAGAATATCAAACATTTTTAGTTTTAGTTGATTCTTAAAAAAAAAAAACTTTTTTGTACAGAACTTTGTTAATTCTCAAGATAATTTTTGAAGAAATTTGTTTTGTTTTTCCGTGAATTTATTATTGTTATTTATAATTCATTTTTAACTAAAACTTTTTTCACTACGATGTTGTTTTTATTTTGATGGTCTAGTCTTAAATCTGAGCTCCGGGCATTGCTTTTTGCTTAACAGATCTGATTGTAAGCTCCTTATTCTATAAACTTAAAAAATTATGTTCTAAAAGGCAACGCTTAAAACCCACCAGAGGAGTTATTTTAGCCAACTAAGCTTTGAATTTAACCCAAAAAGCTATTCCGTTAGACTTACCGAATAAGCTCTTAGCTCTACAAGCTACATTCTTAGCTCTACAAGTTTCGTTCTTAGCTCTACAAGCTATGTTCTTAGCTCTACAAGCTATATTCTTAGCTCTACAAGCTACATTCTTAGATCTACAAGCTACATTATTAGCTCTGCAAGCTACATTCTTAGATCTACAAGCTATGTTCTTAGATCTACAAGCTATGTTCTTAGCTCTACAAGCTACACTCTAAGCTCTACGGGCTACGTTCTTAGCTCTACAAGCTACACTCTTAGCTCTACAAGCTACGTTCTTAGATCTACAAGGAACGTTCTTAGCTCTACAAGTTACGTTCTTAGCTCTACAAGCTAGACTCTTAGCTCTACAAGCTACGTTCTTAGATCTACAAGGTACGTTCTTAGCTCTACAAGCTACGTTCTTAGATCTACAAGGTACGTTCTTAGCTCTACAAGCTACGTTCTTAGATCTACTAGCTATGTTCTTAGATCAACAAGCTACACTCATAGCTCTGCAAGCTACGTTCTTAGATCTACAAGCTACGTTCTTAACTCTACAAGCTATGTTATTAGTTCTACAAGCAATGTTCTTAGTTCTACAAGTATTGCTCTTAGCTCTCTGGACATCGATCTAAGATCTGTATGATATGCTTTTAGCTTTATAATCTATGTTTTGAGTTCTAGAAGTATTGCTTTTAGCTCTCTGTACATTGCTTTGAGCTCTAGAAGTATTGTTTTAAGCTCTCTTAACAGTTCTCTAAGATGTACGAACATTTCTCTAAGCTATACAATCTTTTCAAGCTATGCTCTTTGCTCTTCAAACTATAAACTAAAGTTTACAAGCATTGCTCTTAGCTCTACAAGCATTGCTCTTAGCTCTACAAGCATTGCTCTTAGCTCTACAAACATTTTTCTTAGCTCTACAAGCATTGCTCTTAACTCTACAAGCATTGCTCTTAGCTCTACAAGCATTGCTCTTAGCTCTACAAGTATTGCTCTTAACTCTACAAGCATTGCTCTTAGCTCTACAAGTATTGCTCTTAGCTCTACAAGCATTGCTCTTAGCTCTACAAGCATTGCTCTTAGCTCTACAAGCATTGCCCTTAACTCTACAAGCATTGCTCTTAGCTCTACAAGTATTGCTCTTAACTCTACAAGCATTGCTCTTAACTCTACAAGTATTGCTCTTAGCTCTACAAGTATTGCTCTTAACTCTACAAGCATTGCTCTTAGCTCTACAAGCATTGCTCTAAGCTCTACAAGCGATGCTCTAAGCTCTACAAGCATTGCTCTTTATTTCTACAAGCATTGCTCTTAGCTCTACAAGCATTGCTCTTAGCTCTACAACCATTGCTCATAACTCTACAAGCATTGCCCTTAACTCTACAAGCATTGCTCTTAGCTCCACAAGCATCGGTCTTAGCTCTACAAGTATTGCTCTTAGCTCTACAAGCATTGCTCTTAGCTCTACAAGCATTGCCCTTAACTCTACAAGCATTGCTCTTAGCTCTACAAGCATTGCTCTTAGCTCTACAAACATTGCTCTTAGCTCAACA